TCATTCGGTTTACATTTCTTAGTCTTTCTTTTGTACATGTCAACCTTCACTTCACGTCAAACTTTTTCAGTTTCTGATACTACAGGGTGAGTAAAATAAAAGGAAACCCAAATAGCAGGATCATTTTTGTAATGAAGTTCAGCATGTAGCTCTTGCGAAATCTAGGATACAAAAGCCCAATTAATAAGCTTTCTTTTAGTACAAGAATCATTCAAATCACTCATGTACTTTCAAGTTATAGGATTTTAAACACAAACACCGTTTTAAAGTTCACAAAAAAAGGTAAGTGTTCTTTCAGCAAGACTTACCTTTTTTGGTGATCCGTGGACAAAACTTTAAAACGGTGGTTTTGTTTAACATCCCATAACTTGAAAAGTACATGAGTGATTTGAATGATTCTTCTACTAAAAGAAAGCTTATTAATTGGGCATTCATATCCTAGATTTTGAAAGTGCTTCCTGTAGAACTTCATTACAAAAATGGTCCTCCCATTTGGTGTTTCTTCTTTCTTTTTTACTCACCCTGTACAGTGGACAATTTCCAATCTTGTTCTCCCCTCAATGTTTTTGTGGTTAACCACAGACATAAACACCTTCCCACATTTAATGCTGCAAATTTGCATGGGAACTAAATCAGAAGGAAACCGTTACTTTTCTTGGGTAAACTGACAAATCTTTTTAAAAAAATGCATTTCAGCGAGCGACAACTTCCGAAGTTTACTGCCAGTAATCCACTTTCATTAGCAACACTACTATCGGCTCCGCCTTCAACATAAAACAGTCATTACCAAAAAAAACAAAACAATGGAAAAAAAACCACCTTGGAAATACACTTTGTGTGATTTCTACAACACTATTTCAAGAGTGAACTTTTTTTTAAGCAGTAAAAGCTTGGCAACACTTCACACAACAATATGTATTAGTATAAAAGAATGTATGTCTTATAGTGTAAGGGATTCTCCGTACAAACAATAGCAGCATTTGTGTTTATATTGTTAACAGTTATTTAATTATATCTATTTGGAAAATACTACTGGTATAAAATAGGTCTTTCTCGGTTTATTTCTAATTATGTTATTCAACTAAGCATACATGAAACAGTTTAGGTGTTTTAGTGAATTAATGTGCTGTAATGAGATTTACAAACCCAAAACCTAAAGCGTACGCTATTTCATGTCTGCAAATTTGAACAAAAAATGTTGAACTTCGGTATTACACAGTACATCGCGACCGCCGCACAAACTCAAACACAGAAAATGGTCTACCTTTCTTTAATTACAAACAGAATCACAAGAATAATTTCCATTGCAAAAAAAAAGGAACTTAAGAAACACTTTATGAGGCACATATTTGCATAGATTTTCTACATGTTCTAGGTGTGACAAGTGGAAAAGCTCTCTATCACAACAACAAAATCCTAAATTTCCAAATTTCAATTTTTTGGAAACATTGGCAGAGATTGCAGTCTGACCTCAACTTTAGGAAAGTAAATTTACCAGTTGTTGAATATCTGCAAGGTTTTAAAAAAGTGGGGTTCTTTTAAAAAGTGCATTGCTTGCGACTTACATTAACAATCCACACAACTGATTTGCTAGATTACATAGGATGTGACTAAAATTTGACCAAGGGGATTTGAATAATAAAAAAAACTTCTCGTCAAACATCACACAAGATTTGATGATGTGCAGAATCAACAGCAGATTTTTCAAGTAACTTAAAAGAAAAAAAAGCCATGCCCTAATCTACAGAAATACGACATTCTCTTGATAACCAAGTACTTTCACATGTCATCGTTTCAAGATAACCTGGAGTAATTTCAAGATTGAAATCGGTGACATTCCGCAAGATTCTTGATGTCAGATTTATGATAACAGCACAGATCCAGGGTGAGACATGTTCTTTATGAATTCTTTCACAAGAATTCTGTGTTACACAACGTTGGGAGATCGGAGAAAAAAAATCTCATTATTTCTTTTTGTCAAATTGAGGTAAAACTACAAAGCAGCTGAAAGTGTGCTTGCACCACCGCAAGTTGCTAGTGGGTTTAAGAACAGTGCTTTTTGACATATTGTGTTGGTTTGGCCACAGTCAAATTTCAGACAAAAATTGCAGAAATAGTATAAGCAATCACAGAAAGTTTTCCCACCATGTCCAAGCGATCACATATTTATGCTTACTAATCCACATTGCTATGAAATGACTCCAAACAAAAATAGCACAACAAGACACAAAGAATTTGGAAGTGGTACGGACTACAACATGTGGTACTGTTAGATCTCTATGCAGCATATCTGTCAACTCTTAGCAAGAGTTCAGAAAATAGTTTATATATATCGTAAAAATTCTCGTACAAAATACGTTTAAGGTTTCTGGCAGTCTACAGGTAAAGTTTGGTCCCTTTTTAGATAAATGCATGTTGGTGTTTAGATACTAACTTTAAGATTTTAAGTAAATGCGGAAAATTAAAATTTAAACTTGGGGTTAGTAAAACTGAACTATTTAACACAGATTTTGGACAATATACTTACGTTTCTTAGGATAAATACACACACACAGAAAATATGCAATGTTTGCGACAAATTTCATCTACAACATTTTGCCAAAGTTTCAGCCACATTTTGGTTGAATTTAACCAGTTCACGCCAGGAATATTTTGACAAGAATGGAACGAGTTTCGGGATTACTTTTCACTCAACCTCAATCCAGCCTCACTCGCTGTGAGCGGGCCGCTGACAGATATTTCCGGCCTCGCTCCCTGCGTGTTTATCCGTCATCCGTTCCGAATACCGCAAAACCTTTGCGTGTATACACGTCATCCGGCACGAACTGGTTAAGGAATAGGTATAAAGGGCAAACATTTTATGTTGAATTTTAAAACTTTTAACACAACAGTAACTATTTACATAAGGCAAAATCATCTGCCTTTGAGAAATTAGGGAACCTTGTGAGGTTTCTGCTTGAAAAATGTTTTTTAAATGGGTTAGACTGACAATAACTTAGAATCTGGGTATTTGTGCAGGCACAACTCGTCGTGTCCTTGCAACAAGGTCGTATATCTTAAAGTGGGCTGTAAGTGAAATGCGAGTTTTAGAATGTCAAAAGGTTGTATCTCACTTAAAATAACCCGGATGAACACACAAAGTCAACGGACGTCGGGATACGACCTTGTTGCACGGAGCGTATTCCTGCAAGATACGACTTTGTTGCACGGAGCGTATTCGCACGAGATACGACTTTGTTGCAGAATGGAGTTACGACCTTGTTGCACTGACGCGACGAACTGTTACACACACTCACACATACATTTGATTTTTAGTTCAACAGCACTTTGTATGTATCATTAGTGACTGTTTTGCCAAATATTCCAAACCAGCAAAATCTTCCAGCCCACAAACCGGTGCGCGGCGTAGGAAATCAAGCTTCACGAAGTGCAGTTTGAGAGGAACATATACAATTAGGGAATCATTTCTTGATTCATGTTTTTTTTTTAGTACTAGACAATCTCTTGAAAAAAAAGTGGCCTAATCCTAAAATCATTCAAACTGGAACTTTTCTGCAATTTTAGAAAGCCTGCTTTTCTTTGAACGTTTTCTTATTTGGCGCAGACCCAATGAAAAGAAAATACTTTGACTTTTACACAGACAGAGTATATTGAACAGTTTAACTTCAAAAAATGTTGGGATGATTTGTTGCAACAGTATATATGGGGAAAAAAATGCAAATTATTTTCATGAAATACCTCTGTTTGGAAGATCCGATGTGACACAGTTCTTTGCATAAATGAATAATTTGCATATTTAAATCTGCACCCTAGTGTGGTATTTTCTAGAATGTCAAACTATTGCAGGAAAACGAAAAAAAAAAAAAATCAGGGTAGTCTGTATTTTCATTAATATTTCGGTTTACAATTTGTGAACGTACTGAATTATGTCAGCCATTTTGCTTTCTACTTATTAAATAAATTTCACACGACAAGCAGCATTTCTTTCTCAAAACACAGATGTTAGATTACGTACTGTCCCCAGGTAGCTACATTAACACTTTAATAACTTCTACTCGACAAAAAAGTTACGACTAAGTACATCATCACGACTTTTCCTCAGGAAAAGGCTAAGAAACTATTTATTAGTGTTTAATGCAGCATTTTCTTGGTACATTTCAACAGGTAGAAATTTCACTCTCGGAGGAATTAGAGTCGGTTTAAATACAAAAAAAATGCAGCAATAGTTGGAAAAGAACAGGAACTTGACCTAATTCAGTAATTGGGCTTCTGGGAGTGAACCGACTGGCTAGAGAACGACAGTGATGGAATTCGTTTAATGAGATTCTTATGAAGTCACCGCATTCAGTGTCGTTATATCTGATCGTGTTGCTGCTTCGTATGCATACATTGTAATTGCTGTAAGAAAGGACCAATGACATAGACAAGGGCCCAATTGCATGGCCCTGCCAACCCCAGAATTCCGTGCTTACAATCACCATTTTGTGCTTACAGCGCTAGCAGAAAAATTATGTGCTAACCCTGTAAGCACAGAATCCTTAGTTACAGGATGTACGCATGTGCAGAAGCCAAAATTCCCTGTTAACCCGTTAACATAATTTTCTGCTACAGAAAGCAGGGATTTTTCGCTAACGGTAAGCAGAGCCATGACATTGGGCCCTGCTAAGCAGCAAATAGTGCCTACCAAACCTATGTGCTAAGCACAAATCAGCGGAGGACCAGTCACATGCAATATGCAATGCATGTCATTTTAGGTGGTAACCTGTTTTTGCTAAGCAACTTTTTTTTATGCACTTAGCCCCTTTCTGGGCCTAAGCGCTCCAGGAAACACTTTTTCATTGCTGTTACTGTGCTGTTGCTCCGATGTCTCACCGCGATTTCCGCTGCAGTCCTGTTTCTATGAAGCTGTAACTTGCTGCAGTTCGGCCCGCTTGGAAGTCCGACGTCAGATTAAATTGGCAGTGGATTGCAACCTGGATGCTGTTGCCACTTACTGCAGCCCTTGAGAGTTGCTGAGACACGTGGCTGGAAACCAGTCACATACAATATCAATTGCATTACATTTTGGCTGGTGACCCGTGTTCGCTTAGACGATATTTCCTGCGCTTAGCGAAATTCCTGTGATTTAGAAACTCCATGAAGACAGGCTTCTTGTGGGTGACTGAGGTAAAGCAGAGAGTGGAGTTATTGCAATTGAATCGGTTCCCTGAAGTGATTTGAGTGGGTGAGGGGGGCAAGGGAGGGGGGAGGGGTTGGAACGTGACTAGCTCTCTCGTAGTCATCTTGTCTCTCTGCTGCTGCTGCTGCTGTCCTGCTTCCTGAGCTGACTGCGGCGGCCTGGCGAGGCCCTCTTGCTGGGCAGCTGCCTGTCCCTCGGAGACTGGGCGTCACACACTAGGCCGTCTAGCTGGCTCTGAAGAATGGGGGGAAAAACAACCAAAATGATACGTGGACTTTATTTCTGAAATTACAACTGAGATTCCATGCAGGATGGGTGAATTACAACCGTTTCAAGACTGGAATTTTACTTTTGTAAAGGAATGCCTTTGTTACAATTTATTTGAGTAGCTAGTGACTTGACTTGAGACTGAAGGACTTGTGATGGACTTGTGATGGACTTGTGATGGACTTGTGATGGACTTGTGATGGACTTGTGATGGACTTGTGATGGACTTGTGATAGACTTGTGATAGACTTGTGATAGACTTGTGATGGACTTGTGATAGACTTGTGATGGACTTGCGATGGACTTGCGGGGACTTGCATGGAACTTTTGATGGACTCAACTACAAAATGGTCGACCTTGGTTTACCAAAATACATTTACGTTCAGCGAGACTCAGAGTGTCAATCTGAATGCCAGTGCTGGACTGGATTAAGTGAGGACTTCATGACCCCAAGTATCCGTAAACAAGGAACTGATATATTGCAACACAGAAAACCATTAACTACTTATGGAATGAATAACCAAGACTTTGGTAATCTATTTAATGCAAGAAATCCACTCAAGAAATATTTAGTAAAATGGAAATAAGATCTTGCAATGACTGACCTCATCATATCTGTACATGAGCTTGTGGTTCCTGTTGAGTTTGCCTCTCTGAGCCAGCTCCAGGGCATGTCTCAAGCAGTACACCTTTCCTTCCCTCTCATGGAGCACCTACAATGGGACACAAAAAAAGAAAAAAAAACCTCAAGGAAATTTGTTACATCACTGATGTAGCAATGAATATTACTATCATTATTAATTATTTCTGGTAAATGAAACCAAGGATTCCTCAAAAGTGCCCTAGGCACTGTAGCTCACAGGCCTGAAGAAACCTGTAGCGAGAATACAATGAGAAGAAATTACAGTTTTAGATATGGGAGGAAAAACCCGGAAGACTATTTCTGGGGAAAACCCACGGAATCAGGCAGGGGCTGAAGACCCACTCCACATATTGGCCCAGGCGGGAATCGAAACCCGGGACAAAGCGGTGGAAGGCGAAGATGCCAAATTGCTGGTCATTTTTCCATCACCAAAACACACAATTGGTCATCATCAGATCATTAAGTGAGAGTTATTTTGTTTAAGTGAGAGATATTGAGTTTGTCTTTAGACCAACGAGGAAGAAAAACACTGCATCCGAAGATGGCAAGTGCTGTCTGAAGGCTGATACTCTGAAATATTCTTTTGAGTTTTTCCCCTGTACTACCTCTCTCTGGAACTCCCTACATAAATCTTATTTCCCTTCTTCCTCCAATCTTTCACAATTTAAGAGAAATATAAACAGATATTTCCTGTCACTGTAATCTCTTTTTGGTCTTCCTGTTCTTTCTAGCTTGTAGCCCACACCTTGCGTGGCTCCTGGCCTTGTGTTTGGATGCTATCTTTGGAGAAAAAAAATCAGGTATTTGGGACCTCTAGGACTCACCATGGACACGTAGCACATCTGTTGGCACACACAGCAGCGTTTCTCCTCACTGCTTAGTGAGGATGTCTTGCCGCGCCGGTCCCGGCTTCTGGAGGGGCTCTCGGGCTCGGCAAAGCGGATGGTCGAGTTCAGGCCCAGCTCAGCCAGGCGCTGTCGGTTCTCTAGCTCCTGATCCCTAAAAGGGAGCAATCAGATTGGATATGTGGTATTAGGAGTCTGGGTACAAAACCAAGATGGTTGAGTTCAGTCCCAGCTCAGCCAGGCGTTGTTGATTATCTAGCTCCTGATCCCTAAAAGGAAAAAATCAGATTGGATATGTGGTGCTAGAAGTCTGGGTACAAGACCAAGATGGATGAATTCAGATAGACAAATTCAGGCCCAGCACAGCCAGGTGCTGCCCATTCTCTTTCTCATTATCCCTAAAATGGTAAACCAGTATGGATATGTGGTGTGAGAAGTCAGGGTACAAGACCAGTATGGACGAATTCAGGCTCAGTGCAGCCATGCGCTGCCGGTGTGATCCCTAATGGTGTAAATCACTTGATTAGGGAACTTATGGGCCTATGGCTTAATCTGTTTCATACAGAGCTATCACGCCCCAATTATGCAATAAACTAGCCAATGTCTTCTTTGAAATAAATGTTTTTTCCAAAAGTCTGCTGAATTTCCTAATATGCAATGATGTGTTTTCAACCCTTTTAAAGAACATAAATTCAATGTAAAACGAAAAGTTCCCAGACTAGTCTGGTACCGGGTACTCACCTGATTGCTTTGAGCTCAGGCTGTAGTACCTTGAGCAGTTTCTTGCTGTTGAGGCTGTTACTCGTCTTGATTCTCAGCAGACTCAGCAGCTGCTCTATGGAGAACTCACAGGCTTGGTGTAGCTCACTAGCGATCTAAAGCGGACGAATGGATCGGTGAAACTGCTGTTTTGTTATTGCCCACATAAGAAAATAGCCCAATTCGGGCGTTACACAATGCAGTGGGCCACCAAAAGTTTGCCACGGAGATTTCATTTTTTTCCGGTGCATTGTGGGAGATGGTAGGCAAATTCACAGTGCCGGCTATTTGAGATTGTTAGTTTGTCCAGTCAGTAGTTTCGTAAGCGTATGATTCGAGTATCTGTTTGTCCTTCTTTTTTTTTCAATATGTTGTTTTTTGTAAGGCGGCAGAACGCTATACCCCAATCCTTCACAAATTAGCTCAAGTTGTCTACTGATACTTGTTCAAATGAGCCGTGTTTTGTTGACCGTAAACTTGAAAAACGGACTCTCCATGGCAAACTCTTGGTGGCGCACTGCATTGTGAAACGCCCAAATTGGGAGATTGGCTACATAACAGGAAATGGTGCCATATTGGATAATGCCTAACAAAGGAATAACCCACACTGGATTTAAACCTAATACAGGAATAGCCCAATCAGGAACTGGCCCAATCAGGGTATGGCCCAATCAGGGTATGGCCCAATCAGGGTATGACCCAATCAGGGTAATGGCCCACTTTAGGGTAATGGCCAAATCTGGGAATGTCTCTTTAAGAAAATAGCCCAATCGAGGAATGACTCAATCAGGGTATTGTCCCAACTGAGGTAGATACAACCACTCACTTGGAAAGCTTGTATTCCAGCCGGTACCCAGCTGGGTGTTGCATAGCGGATGGTCTCAGCGACGTTGTACCCACATGAGACAGAGGAGGTACAGGCTCCCGGTAACGTGACCAGAAATTCCCCACTCCGCTGCTCTAGTCGGTAGACGGGGATGTCTAACTCAGAGAGGCTCTGAGGTGGTATCTGAGGATGATAAGAAAAATACAGCGGTGAAGGACGTCACTCAAATAAGGTAGTTTAAGGAGTCCAAGGAGCCATTGTTGGTGCTTCATTGCATCAAAACCTCTCTTAGCAGATTTTGAGTCTGAGGTCAGCAAGTACATCCTTGACCTAATGAACTCTGACATAGGGGTCAAGTTAATTCAAATATCCTCAAATAGGGAGATGCGTTTCAGGTTGCGTGTCGGTGGCAGCCAATAATATTTCAGAAGCATTGTCCTCAGATACATGTGTATGAAGTCACGTCCCCAGTCTACTACCTGAAATTAGCCCCCAGGTCTATGTCACATGTATATTCTGTGGTTAAGTCAGGGATCCAGACTTCACCGTTGAGTTTTTAAATAAATACCCCCCAAAACGTCAAGATTTTTGGGAAGCCAGTTTAGGAGCAAGGTACTCACCATGCATAGGAAAGATTTGTCGTGAAGGCAGTGTGGTTTCTTAGCACATAGGTTAGGCACTAGGGTCTGCATAGCTTGGACGACCTTGTCTTGATGGACTCGCGGTATACAGTAACTATAGGAGACAGAAGAGTGGATGAATGTTAAAGTGTATGATAGCCAGGCTAGGCCTAGGATTCTACTGGTAACCAGAAGTCAAGACAAGTTTTGTTAACCTCATGAAGTGATTGAAACCCCTAGTTCTGTACTTTGTCTGTTACTCCCTGTACCAACTTTAACCACCCAAATACTGCATAGCATTAGGAATTCATCAAGCAGTAAATGCAATGTAATGCTAATGAGATAAAATTGTACTTATGTCTTTTGATACAAGATAACACTTCTTTACTCCAAAAGGCATACTTTGTATAATTTATGATTTGTGTAATTTTTCAGACTGCAACTACAATATATTAAAGGTAATATGCAACTTTGCAAAATCAAAAAAAACAAAAACTAAATTATTATGAAATATCTTACTTTACTGTAAGTGAATAATAGTCTCAAGCATCTTGTGAAATCATGGCACCTGGTGTGCTGTCATTTTTTGAGAAAAGTTGAATTTTTTTACCGATTTCCAACGATGGTCGACCAACCATCATTGAAAATAAACCCTGAAAGTTTTCAAATACTGCCCCTATTTTACCAAATTTGGTTAGTTCACATTTTGGTTGCAATCGGTTACACAACCGTGAATGGTTGCAAGCCAGCTAGTCTGCTTCCCTGACCCAGCGATTCCCCAACCTCTATAAGTTGCTCCATTTCATCTGAAGCAGGATAGGGAAAACCATGAAAACAGACTACAAAAACAGCATTTTTTCTTGGCTTTTCCAGCATCTTTGAACACAAAACTTTAAACAGGCCAGTATAACAAATATTTGCTATAAAATACTTATCCCTAAATCCAACCATTTCTGAAACTTACAGCAAAAGCAAATGTTTTATATTAAACGTAAACACTGATACAAAAATATAGAAAACTTTGCACTTCTTTTGGAAATTTTGTTTGGGAATGCAGGCGGTACTGAAAATTCCAATACTGCACACAAATCTAAAAATTAACAACACACAGAGGCAGGGCACACATACTGAAATTTGTATCCTTGTGGAGACATTTCTCTGTTCTCGTGTACTAAAGTTTTCGAGTTTGAAAGTGAAGTTTCAAAATGCTCTTATTTTAACCAGAATTAATTTCCTTGGCTGAAATTCAGACATAATATCCCTTTTCTAAAACTCTTCCATTTGGGACAGATCAACCCATCTTGGAAATTCCTAGTTTTTGAGTAAACTCCATATATCTTTTTCATGAAAACCTTGTGGAGACATATTCATCTATAGAAATTGCCCTGTGGAGACGTATACAATCTTTTGTTCCCTATTGTGTGCATGTCTCCAGAGGGCACGGTGTATCAGATCACATAGCCAAACTGGCACCGAGGTGTCCTAACCTAAACATAGAGGGCAGCCCTCTGCCCCTGTATACTCACTGTATGCGTGGAGCTCCCGTGTGCAGGTACTCGATGCTGGGCAGCGCGTGTCTGTCGCAGTTCCAAGTCTCGGTGCTGTACAGCATTCCCACCTTCATCTCGGGCAGGTTGATGCAGCGCTTGCCCGGCAGCACCTGCAGCAAGTTGCCGTGGTTGTTGCCCACGTTGTTCAAGTTCCAGTTGTGTCTGCGGTTTTGACGTGGGATAGAGTTTTTGATTAAAAGGAGCCAATACAACATTAGCATAGGGGCAGCCATCTTGGATATGGCCGAGCCACGATGGCTACATTTGAGCGAGTTACTCATGTTTACATGAGTAAACCCCTGAACATAAATGGCAAGTGTAACGACACACGGTTACTGGCGAGTATACTCATGGTCAGAGCCGCAGTGTTATCTTGCACCCGACAACAAATGCTTTTAAATCAATTGATTTCAAGATGGCGGAAGGGTACAATTGCAAAACTTTTCCAAGGCTTGAATCATATTTTTATGACTTTTATTGTTTCCAAATTTTACTTTGGATTATTTATTGTAATAAAATGATAGCCACTGGACCAATTTGAAGCTATGCATGTATTCAGAGTTTGAGAACCTCTTGAAGGCTTAGCATCGGCTATTGTGGCAGTCGTTTTGCACATATCTAATATTTTCAATTTTTTTCAAGTGGGCTTAAATTTTTATTGTGTGAAATAACCTTTTTGCCTGTGGTACCAAGTACCAGGCAAATTCCCCACGCGTTTTATGACACTCCAACACGTAGCCAACACAAAATGCCCAGCGTTTTCCGTCTGCATAGAAGCTCATGGCAACGGCTTTGTACTTACACCCGATTTTCCCAACTTCCATTAATTCTCTATTTTTTTCCATTTTAGTAGCAAACCAAATGTTTGGTCACCTCCCATTGTTTAATCTGTCCCTCGTGATTAATGAAATGCAAGATGCATAAACAAACTGCCAAATATTTCAATTGATATTTTTGCAAATGAATACTGCATATATGGCACCAAATGAAAAAAAAAAATTCCTTGACTTTCGAACCCATGGAAACCACAATGCATTATGCAAAAGCTGCAGCTAGAATTTGTGCTAAATCTTCACAACCATTAAAAAAAAAATGGGCAAACTACATGTTGTAAATATATTAGTCCACAAATGTGAAAATAAATGATAAAAATAAAATCAAGGGGGAAAAAGGAAAATAATGAACGGAAAAAAGAAAACATAAAATAATCATAAAATGATAAACCCTGTGGAAACAAAATCATGTTTAATAAACTAATGCAATTTTTAAAAAGAAAATTGTGCTTCATTCAACAAAAGAAAAACTTTCTAGAAAAACGAAACAAAATCCAAGTAAAAAAAAATGGTACATAAGTGTTTTCCCCTTTTAATTTGTTTAAATGCTTTTGAGCACAAATGCACCGTGCAGGGAACATATTTTTTTTACATGCAAGTTAGCAGCGACGTGCAAGAAACTACAGGGGGCTGGTGCAGCACAGATTAGCATATTTGAATTATGCATTAATGTTAATGAGGCCAAGGGTCAATTAATTTGGTTTTTTTGTGTGAGTGTCTTTATAGAGAGGAGACAGCCGTCTTAACTTACTTTGCAAAGGGGTCAGTTTTTCGGTGGGGGAAACCACTACAGAGGAAATCACAGCAAACAGTGGTAGAGGTTGTCAATACAGGATCACTCATAAAATACGGACAGCAAACGGTGGTTGGGTATCAAGTCAATTAGAGGCTCACTCAGGGTTAAAAGTTCACAGCACAAGACTACTACGTGGTTATTTTGAGCTTTTCCCCTCAAAACAAGATATGACATTTATCAACCTTTCCTACAGCCCCTTTCCTCCCACTTGGCTGTCCACCCCCCCTCCTGCCCCCCCCCTGCCCCCCCCCCCCCAAATCTTAATTCAAGTTCTACTTTTAGAAGTAGCCAGTTGTGCAGATACACTCAACCAAAAAAAAAAGTCCCCCTTAATACTTTTTTGTCTAACTCAAAAACTACTGGGCACATCTTGCTCAAATTACGACTAATCAGTACAGAAATTCCTTAGCAATCCAGCCATATTCTTTGTTTGTCCAAAACAGTGATAATGTGTACAAAATTATGCAATTTATGACAAATGGTACCGAAAAAAAGTTGCACTTTTGTATACGCGCAAGGTGAGTGTGAACCACAACATTTGTCATAAGTTGCATAAATTCGTACACATTATCACTGTTTTGGGCCGAATAAAGGGTATGGCTGGATTGCTACGGAATTTTTGTACTGATTAGTCGTTATTTGAGTGAGAGGTGCTCAGTAGTTTTTGAGTTATACAAAAAAGTATTGGAAGGGGGGGGGGGACTTTCTTTTTTTGGTTGAGTGTAGTTCGGGGTCAAAACAGTTGCAAATATACTGCCTCTTGGATTAAAAATTAGGAAAGTTTTTACAAAGCAGGATTTTGGAATTCTGGCAGGAAGTGGGGAGGGGAGAAATTGACCATCCCTGCCATCTTTATATCCAATTTAATTTTTTTTCTAATAGTTTTTTTTGTTCTTAAGTTGAAATACGAGGAATAACACCTCCAACTCTAAAAGAATGTAAATACTACCATATCTTTTGAAAGCATTGATCTTTGTTGCACAGAATTGAGCAGGAAGACAATATCAACTTTGTCTAAGACACAAACTGCAACTTGTTTTCCTTTTGACTAGAGAAAGGAAAAGCTCCCAATTACCTTGACAACAATGACAATAGCATTCAACACTCTGCATTCAAAAACACATCTCAACAGAACATTGTAATACACACACGCACACAATGGCATGCAGAAATACGTTTGGGTGGTTCAAAAGAAACGATAATTATATTCTCAGTCCTCAAATGGTAGTTTGAATATCAAATAAATCTCATTCTGGAACTGACTATTTTGTAACCTTCGGACGTCGTCAGGCAAAAAAACAGAATTATACACTTCTTTAATATTTTGACATTCAGAAAAAATGGTACACGTTCATGTTAATTACAACATTAATAAGCAACAATCTAAAATTAGTATTGCTTCGGGAAAAATTGACTTGTCACTGTTACAGTGGTAAGTAAGGGAGACAACAATTCATATATTAACATTAACTAGATGAATGCCAGAATGTTCATGATTTTCACAGATACATTTTGCACACTTGGAAACATGTCAACAACCTCACAAATTTTGTCGGAAACAGCTAGTGTAAGTCAGCGACAACGTTTTCTATAGCTACAGCGGTTTACTAAATCTGAGATTTTGACAGTGAAAATGCCAAGCTGGTTTCTACATGTTTAAAGGCCAACTTACACATACGCAACATTGTTGCGTGACAATGTCGTGCATCTTTAAAAGTTACGCACAGGTCAATGAGGATGTTTACATTTATGCAACAAAGTCGTGCATCTCAACACTCATATATTTGTGTGTATTTATAAAAACACACGACATTGTCTTGCAACAAAGTCGCTTACATGTATGTAACAATTGGCCTTAATACGGGAGCTCAAGCTGAAACAGTCAATCTTGTATAATTTTGTCATACAGTTTTATTCAGAATCTGTCTGGATGGGTACAGTACCCCTAAACTGACAGTCTTTTACATTGGATTGGCACACCTCCAGAATCGGAAATGTGTGTGTGCAGTTTCCCATATGGTGTTGGAATTTGCCAGGATGGGTATGGTTCCTAGTAAATCATGCTAGGGAGTTAGGGATAATATAGTGGAATTTTAGCTTTTTAAATTTCAGAGTGTTTTTCAAGTAATACTAGATTTGTCAATATGAAGATGATTGTGCTGTGACGGAATGTATTATTCAAAAAGCTTTTTCCTCTCAAGAATGTATGTATGTAAACAATTTGTTCCTATGGAAACATGACAAACAAAAGCAATTTTGGGCATTTTTCATGTAATGCTCCAATTTAGGGACTTTTCTTCAAAGATTTGAGACAAGGAGGGAAAGTCTTGGGGAAATCATACCTTCCTGAGATGGCTGTATCGATATCGGCTCTCTGCACCGAGACGTGACTCTGTCCTCCTTCAACAGTCCGCCAATACTCACGCTGCAACGGTGAGAAATTAAAAAACAACCATTTTTTTTTTTTATTGAAGACTTCCTTGGCGGAATAGCTGTCACGAGCCTGTCAGGCCGGCCTTTATGCCCGATTTCCTTGGCATGGAACAACTGAGAATATTTCTATCCCGCCTGGATAGGATGCCAGTCAGTCGCAGGTTACTCCCCAGCTAATGCCGGTACCCATTTATACTCCTGGGTGGAGAGAGGCAAGTTGGGGTAAAATGGCTTGCCCAAGGACACAATACATGGCCAGCAGCTGGATTCGAACCCCGGACCCTCTGATCATGAGTCACGACCCCTAACCACTAGTCCACACTCCCCTTGGGAGACTACATTTGCATGATTGAACGTAAAAAGGTGAGATTAATTTCAGCCCAATAGACCATTTGCATTGCAGCCATGTTTGAGGTGTGTAGTTTTGTTCAACTCTCTTCTTATACTCTATGCATACAAAATGTAGGCGCACAGACCCTTAACATCCAAAAATAAAAACACACTGACACCAACTATACGTCACAAAATAGACTAGGCTGACCTCCACTTCTGTCGCGCTGGGGTCGTTCTTGAATTGCATCATCTGGAAGTTGTTGGCCATCTTGCAGAACTGGGTCAGATTCAGAGAGCGCCCTCTACTCAGCACGCTGTCGAAGCCGTCGTCCTCGCGCGAGTCTTTGGCGCTGCGCTTGCCTGTAAACAAAGTGAGAATCACAGATAGTTTGAAGGTCACACTCGAGAGACAGTGGTATCAGTTTTGTTGTCGAGTGCATTTCCGTGAATGAGTACTTTGCCATGAGTACAAGTACAAGTACCGGACTACAAGTACAAGTACCGGACAAGTACGAGTACCAGACGAGTACGAGTATGAATAAAGTTAATGTTTTTCTAACAAGTGCGAGTACGCCGAGTATGAGTACATTCTCATGAGTATGAGTACTACAACACTGCAGTGTATCAAACACAAGTCAATCACAAGTTAATTTTGAGCAATCACGAGTCAATCTTGAGTCAATCACAAGCTAATCACAAGGCAGTCATAAGCAAATCACAAGTCAACCATGAACCTATCACAAGTCAAACACAAGTCAATGTCAATTTAATCACAGGTCATTCACAAGTAAATCACAAATAAATCACAGGTCAAACACAACCCATTCGCAAGTCATTAAAATGTCAATCACGAGAAATCACAACGGCACAGAAAATGTCTTTGTCACAGTTCAGTTTATGACTTGACATGAGACTCAATGACTTGTGATTGATTACACTTCGGTCACTACCGACATCATAACTCACCTGATTGCCGCTTTCTCTCAGCCTCTACTTCAGCACACAGTTTCTCCTTCTCCTCCTAGTTGAAGAAAAAAATAATACACATTAACCTAAATGGTAACTCCAACCTTGGCATACTGGCAAAATGACTTCCCAGTGGTGAAATCAGGGGAAACTAAAAAAATCTTCAGAGGGACTGAGCAACATAGGGTCTATGTTTGTATTTGCTTTACAGTAAAATCTAAGGAATTCCAGATTTCAAATGGAATTCTTTAACCCTAACTCCCTACTGTCTTTTACTAAGTACTGGACCAAGTCCACCAAAATCCATCAATCACACTGCTTCCAATGCATGCTTTGCTTTAGGCCTCCAGGCCCAAGTCCATCATACTCCAGCAATATGTAGTCACACCAGGCCTGCAGGACCAAGTCCCTCAAAATCCACCAAAATGGGGGGGGGGGGGGATTGATTTTTATGGAGTTGGGGAGGTTAGTGTTAATATCCAGAAATCAGAAAAAAATCCTGTAATCCAGAAAAATCCTGACAAATCTCAACCACCGTGCACAAAACCAACAGAACTTTTGTTGTACGTCAAACTTACAAGGGACACTGAGCCCAGTGTTATGTAACATTAGCTGGGCTTTACCTTCCTCAATCCTACAAAATCCCACACACCCTCCTGGTGGATTTTGTAGGATCGGGGAGGGTTAGGCTGTAAATCTAAAACCTACCTTTGTCAGGGTGTCATACGACAGTAGATACTTGCAATATATACCGTCCAGCTTGCCGATTCGTCCCTGGATCTGTAAATGAACAAATCACATTATATGTTTAGCTCAACTGCTCAGCTTTAATGTATGATAAGAGACCCCAAAAAATGAAGATACATACACGTACACTGTAGGTTTTGGTAGTGAACAGTGTCATATAGTGTCAAATGGTGTTCAGCCCCCTGCCCCCACCAATTTCTGGCTACGCTACTAAAGCTTTCATAATGTTTAAGTAGTCATTTCATTTCCAAATTTTCCTGCTATCTCAGAACAATTTGAACCAATCACATTCATATCATGTACATGACCACTAATTTGATTTGAAAAAAAATTACTTGGGAAAAATTAACTTTAACTATCAATTTTGAGCTTTCACCTGCAGAGTGTCGAATTCATCCACTTTCCCAGAAAGTACTTATGGTAAATCCGACAGAGCGCATCCGAAATGGTCGGACGTCTGTGACGGTAATTTTAAACTCTGCAAACCAAAGTATCTTTCACACAGGATATTTTGTTTGTTTGTTTATTTGTTTGTTTATTTAGCTTACCATCTTTGGAATCTTGAGCAAGTCAGCCACCTTGTTCCATCTTTTCTTATTGGTCAGTGTCTTCCGTCCTCCCTGCTGCGTCACAATCTTGGAGAATCGGACTAAATCCAGCTCGCACCCACCAACCTTCAAACAAAACATAGAAACAATCCAACAAGTTTCATTTTATTTTAATTCTTTCTAGAAATAAACATAAGGATTCTTCCAAATATGCATAGGCCAAAAGAATTTGCGAGAGAGAAGACAATGAAGAAACGTTCAGGTTTGAAGTGGGCGGAAAACATCGAAAAATGACATGCCAGGGAAAACCCACAGGATCAGGTAGGGACTGAGTACCCAAAAGGCCCAGGCAGGATTTGAACCTGGGTCACCGAGATGGAAGACGAAAAAAAAAAAAAATGCTGCACCAGCCTGGCTCCCATCCAACACAATTCAATCAGTCCGGCTGCAAAACTGTGTGTTTATTTGATCTTGGGGAACATTTGAGACTGCACAATTTACAGCAAGTCATTTCAGGAACATATCGGTATTTTTTTTATTAGAAATCAAAACTCTGTACTGTCTGTGATGAAAAGAAGGTGTTGGAGTGCAAGGATTCAGATTTTGAAGAGCAAGGAGAAAGAAGTTCATGTCTGCGATTTGAAAATAATGATCTATTTATTTAAAAACAAAACCTTGTTTTCTTGTTTCGTTTTATCATGTGCCTTGGCTATTAGTTTTATCTGAAACTGCATACCACCAAATCAGATATTATACAAATATTGAATGCTTCGAGTGGTGTAGTAAAACTAGCCTCCCGAGGTGATCCATGGACCATTCTATTTTCCCGAGGCGAAGCCAAGGGAAAATAGAATGGTCTATGGATCATCGAGGGAGGCTAGTTTTACTTCCCCACGAGATAAAGCATTCAATATTTGTTTTATAACACTTCACCCACAGATTCTGCTTGATTTTAATATTTTAAATTATTTAAATCTGAACACAGTTGAAATAAACTTCAATTTCAATACAAAATTGGTAGAAAATGTATTTCTCTCTTAAAAACTACCCCTTCACGAAATTTGAATAATACGCGCTACGCACAACGCGCACACCAGCATGCATTTGCACACAAATACCACGCCGTGGAAATAGTACTTTGGTTGCTAATGGTATAGTACTTTGGTTGCTATGCGCATAGTTCTTTTGGCCGTGCACAGAAAGATAGCAAAATTAGAAAGTAACATGTGACTCGCTCTCGGCCAATCAAGACACAGAATCTGTGGGTGAGGTGTTATAATGTGTTCTGGATTCATTTCAGACAACTTGCGTTATATCTCAAAGAAAAAAAGCAAAAACAAACTGTGCACACGATGTAAAGTTTGAGTCCTTTTTAGGGGATAAAAAGGGTCTTTTATATTTTCTTCTTACAATGCTACAATAGCAAACTTATCGACAAATATAATAAACTCCTTTATACTTCATATCCTAACTCAGAAAAAAAAATTGACAGCGTCGCAAAAGTATTGTACTTCGAGAGGCGATGAAATGACTATCACATCAGAACATTTTTATCTGACAGTATCTCTGCCAGCAAGAAAGGGTGAACGAAATGTCAACACAACGTCAATGATTACAGTGCTGTAAAAATAGACTATGAGTGGTCAATGGGCTGTCCATGTGGAAACCTGATTACCGGGCCCTTCGGGTTTTTTCCCTATAAATTGACGTACCCATATGGAAGTTGTAAATCACTTGGTATGGACAGCGTGTTTCAACAGTGAATGTGACATTTATTGCGGCTACAACAGCAATTTCTGCCAGACTTTTTGGTTTGATTTATTTTGTATTTTGTACTTTTTCTGTGTGTGATAGTAACATAGGTCTGAATTTGAATGAATCTGGAATGAATCTAGAATTGTTTTTGTTTTGTTTTTGTTTGCTTTCATTTTTGTTTTGATTTTTTTTTTTTTAATTTAAATTATTTCTTTATCATTTTTAAATTTAATTTTTTTGGGGGGGGGGGAGGGGATTGTTTGAAGGGGAGTTTATTTATTTATTTATTTTTTTCAACAACAAGGATGTGATCTAAAACAATATTGTTTTTACTTTGAAGTTTACTTTTCCCAACAAGGAAATATTTTCTGTTCCCAAGGATACACTTATGCAAGACTGATGGTTTAAGAATACAAGTGGGAGTGCAAGGAAATTTGGAAATAAAAAATAGGGAAAAATCATGAAGATTAGGAAAAACAATAGGAACAGGAAAATGAGTGGGAAGGCCGAGCCAAATATAAAAAAAAATGCAGGGAAATAGATAAGAAATGAGAGTAGAAATGGAAATAGGAAATAGAAAAAGAAACTGTTTCAATGTTTTGACTACTGTTACATTGACACGTCTTGTGAAACTATTTTGTTATTTTGCAGCATAATTACAATTTAATCCTTTAGCGACTGTGCTGCACTGTATTACACTGTTAGACAGTTTACTCATTCCCATTGGTCGAGAGCCCGTCACGTGGCTGGTTTTTTAAAACAGTTGATAAAACACCAACTGGCTGGTCTTAAACATTTTTGTAGTGTCACATGAAATTTGCTCTCCGGTGAAATCCGGTGCCTTTTACCCTTTTATTGGTTGAACGTTCACAATGCTGGGTAAGGCATGCGCAATACTACCAATGAGTCCGTATTTCACAGTCCTTATATTCACACTACACCAGCACAACTGCTGCGTTCTGCGCCACATCGCGCAGCACGCAAAACGCGCCCCAATCTCCATATAAGGAGTTGTTTACGAATACTCGGGAGAGGCACATACCAGAACATACACGTAGCTAGAGGAATGTTTAAAAAACACATGAATTAAAATTGTTGAACAAAATCATTGGAAATTTATACTTTTTGACTTGTTTTGACTGTTTGACCGAAAAGGTATTTATGAATGGGTTCGGCTTGGTTCATTATCAGCATCCAGACTCCAAACCAGTCTTAAACATAGTGTTTAAAACTGGCCAAGCACACATTTATTCCCTTATTTATTCCCTAAATCCATCATGGAATAAATACAGGGTTGATACAGGGACTAACTGGTTGAGCAACTTCGGATCAGCATTATGATGGAAACAATTCCTCCACATATTTATCAGATGTGGTATCTCAATCTAGAATTCCATGTGAATTGACAGGCATATTGTGATGGATTCGCTTCATACCTGTGGTGGGTACGTCATGTCGTTGTCCTGGGCCGCTAAATGCTTCTTGATGCAAGCAAGTTGCTGAACATTGCTTCCCCATCTGAAAATGTAAACAAGTGAAATTTCATTTCTAGGTACACAATTCTGGACTGAAAAAAAAGGTTAAAAGGCAATGAATTTCAAAGAAACCGCTTTAAAAAAAAATTATTCTTTTTAATTTCAGTTAATACCAGATACTTGGAAAAAAATGGTTTGAAATTATGTTTTCCTTGATTTCCCAATTCCGTATCTCCTTTTTCCTAAAAAAATTACTGCATTTTGTTGTAATTCAAAGTAATGTTGCATTACTAAACAGATGTTGTGGGATTGGATTTCATCTCAAAATACAAAAGCTTCAGACAAATATGACTTTTCAATGAAAGTTGCAACATGTAGGATGTCCGGTTGTGGGGATATTAATTTGTAACCGGACTCCGGACCACTCACCTGTGGTGAAGTCTGTGAATGCGCTGGATCTGGGGCGATAGCCTCATGTCATCTTTGAGTTTGCATTCGGGCTGGAAAAAAAAAAAGGAGTAACAACTGTTAAAAGACGAGGTGATTTCCTGAAAAGAGTTTTCTCAAAGAATCATCTTTAACCCTAACCCTCCTCAATCCTCCAGGCGGTTTTGGAGAATTTTGGAGGATTGAGGCTGCATAAATGGCAAAAAAGTGTCGATTGACTCTGCACTGAGTCGAGTTTGTAGGCTGTACCCAGCATTGTTTACATTCATGTATTCATGCGTTATTGAGCCCTCCATTATGCGTGATATCATCTCCACTGCTTCTGAATGTCATCGGCACTGCCTCAACCCGTAACAGTGATTGTTGGAGGATGTTGAAGGATTGAGGCAATTAATGGTCGCCCCTCCAATGAACAAATTCAAGAAGTAACGGATGCTTTTGGAGGATTGCTGAGGCTAAATCCAATTTTTACATGGTGACAATTGGAGGATTTTGCAGGATTGAGGATGGTTCCTAGCCAAAAGGGCCTAGGGGGTTAGGGTTAACTTTATAGGCCCAAAAAAAAAAGTCTCCGGTTTCTAGCCAAAAAAAAAAGTCTCCGGTTTCTGGTATGCGCGCGCCTCGCCGTAGCCATGCGCGTCGGCAAAATGAAACAGGTTTTTTTCAATGAAAGATGATGTCTCAAAACCGCCAAACTCACTGGTTTGACTGGAATCCTGCTGCTGCACAATTTTAACGTGTTTTTAGATTGGGTTATGGTCGAGAATAAGCTTTATGTGGCCTCTCTGGACTCCCATATATTTGCACTAAGTTTAGTCGGGCACCATTTGCAGTCATCAGCCGACATTTCAATGATTTGAAGCAAAAAAATCAGGTAAAAAAAAAAAAAAAGCCGCGTCGCCGCACCACTTTTGGGGCAAGCTCCATACCAGAAACCGGAGACTTTTTTTTTTTGGCCATACTCTTACATGTACATGTAGGTGCCTTGCTAAAGACTGTCGTGAATCTGTAAAAGTCTGGTAGGGTCCAGGTTTATCTTTTTAATTATTGGGCAGTATAGTCATTGTTAAAAATCTCTTGGATTCCTTTGATTCCATTTTCTAAAAAAGTCATTCTTCCAGTCAGGGGTATTCATGTCATACTTCAATTACCCTCAGGCTGAAAAACAATTTGTAGTAAACACTTTTACTTCTTGAAAAGGTTTCTTTTTATAAGTTGAATTCATGATGGGGCGGAGACAGGGGTTGAGGAACTGCATCGAAATGTAATCATGTGGGATTTCCCCTAAAAAAATATCATAACTGTTTTCCTTTTGCTTTTTGAAAAGAATGCTATTTCCTTCCTTCTTGTTTTCATCAATTTAAAGGATTGGTTGCAGGAGAAAATGTGGTTAACACTGATAGGTTTCCAAGGAAAAATACCAAATAGGATTATTTTAATGATAACAGGCATGGAAACTTAAGCTTTTTGCAAATACATCTGCCCTCTTAATTAATATTCACATGGCATTTGTAAAGGTAGAGTATATCATTTGCAGCTATCCAAAAAGTAGGCTGACAAAATTATTGTTGAAAAGCATACTTGGTTTAAAGATAGTAATGGCACTAAAACTCCCTGTGAAATTATTCTTTCTGGCACGCTGTCATTTTGAAGAAAACAATAAAAGAAGGCGCATTTTTGGAAATTTTTGTTAGTATTTAATTTTTAATTCAGCTTAGCCGTGAATGGGTGTGGGCAAGCATTGACACTATGCTATTACTTGTTGGTTCAGCATGTGACATCGCGTAGCTGCAATCGGCTGAATGAGAACGTGTCCCCGATGCTGATTTCGGGCGCAATTCAAAACATGACTCGGCAACTATTGAATTGAAACCGAGATCCTAGAATATTGTTTTCTCGGAATATACAACATTCACTGACTAAAGCCTCATCAGGTTAGTTGTTAAGCGCCCTTCTTTAGATTTTTAGCATTTTTGTTGCTTCAAAAAAAAAAAATGCACGGATGACAAATGATATACATGTACATGTACTCTATCTTTAAATGCCAATACAGTGTATGTTATTTTTGTTTTACAGTTTTTAAAGTCCATAATACCATCCCTTCAAAAATCAATTATGAATACAGCCATTAAAATTTAAAAAATCACTCCAAAAGTTCCCAGTAGTTTTCAAATTCCCCAGAAAGTACCGTATAAAGGTAAATACACACACAAAGCACCTTCACTTTTTTTTTCCTCCACATGTACACAACAAAGCCAAACTACATGTAGATGAACCCGCCCACCTGCCACCGACACAAAGGCTGGCGTTCAATGGCAGTCCAACAATGGAGTAAATGTCACCAACTACGCTACGAATAGTTAATCATTTGTGCAAGAAAAAAAAAGGGAGCCCTAGACTGGCTGGCTATCCCAAGAGACCGGCTCCTGCCTACAAGAAAAGAGACGTCAAACCCTGTGATGTGTCATATGTTGGGGGGGGGGGGGGGGAACCGTATCTAAATACACCCCAGACCGACCTTTATAAGGGGCAGCTGGTGAGAGAACTAGGAATCCCCAGGGGACAGGCTTGTTTGCGGTTATAAATAGCGGAGTGGATGAAGCCTGCCAAGTTTCAGCTCCGTTCATTCATTCAGCAAGTCATTCATGCTTTTTATATTCCTCTTTTTTTATGAATGAACGCTGAAATCTACGCACATAATGCGCATTAAATGACCGGGGTAATAATACTAGGGAAAGAAAAAAATTCTGAGCTCAATTTGCTAGGTCTTACACACAAGCATTACTTGTAATTGGACTCAACGCAGGCACGGATGGGGAATAATGTTCCGAGTAAGTGCTGTGCGTAAAAGCTCTTTATCTATATATTTTTGTTGGATTTCATGAATGAATATGTTTTGACGTGAGCGTGGGCAGGTCCTTAGCATTAACTGATCCGACAGCATCACAGCAAAGGGCATGCTTTAAACTAACATCGCATTTTAAATGGAGAGAACAAAAACAAACAATTGTTTTATTTGAGTAAAATTTCTTTCAGCAAGGAAGTGCAGAACAGAAATGCTGAACATGTTAAATGCAAGCAAAATGTAACGTACAAAATCCACAGAGACAATGGATGTTATCACAATAATTTTTTGGGGGAAGGGAAGGGGGGAGTGGGGATTGTTGAAAAGGTGACTTCACAGGAAGTGAACGATTGAGTGTCCTAAAAGATATAGTTTACAGGAATGAGGGAATCAAAAACAGCAGAGTCTAGCGGTTATTTAGTAAAGCCAGCAATAAAGCCAGCGTATAAGAGCAGCTAACAATACACTGTTTTATAGACACAACATTTTGATTCTATACAATACGTCCCCAAAAAAGTGTCCGTCTGACAACTACAAAGCCACGAGGTCAATTTTGAAAATGTTTGGTTGTGCAGATACTCCTAAGCCTTGGCCTCAACCCCTATGAGTTTCATTTAATTTCAGTCACGCATCACTACACAATTGTCAGTTGATCACAACAACATTTTTGGACACTGTGACCAAGTTCCTTGCCTTTATCAATTCAGTGCTGTGTTATCAATTCAGTGCTGTGTTATGTAAGCTGTGTAAAACCCTGCATGTTGTGAAAAAAAGGAACTGGAATCAGTTCATTAAACTGAGGTCTTGCCATGAGGACTGCGTTGCCAGGCAAATGATTTCAATCCCAACAGCAGCCCTTTTCACAACATGCAGGATTTTACACAGCTTACCTACGGTAACACAGCACTGAAATTGAATAGGGCAAGGAACTTGGTCACAGTGTCCAAAAGTGTTGTTGTGATCAATTGGCAATTGTGCAGTGAGGCGTGAGGGGTTGAGGCCAAGGCTTATTAGTATCCGCACAACCAAACATTTACAAAATTGACCTCATGTTTTTTGTAGTTATTTTAAAAATAGTCAGAAGGACACTTTTTTGGGGGTCACACTGTACAACTCTCACTATTAAATTAACATTTTACCAGATATTTATTTAGTTTTTCCATTCTAGAGGAACATCGGAATAACTCACCATCCATCCTTGTGGAGGTACAACTTTGCACATACCGCTGTGGGCCACCTGGGCAGAAATGGAGGTGATGTACGCTATCGGGTCCCTCCACTCCTCCTGGCTCGGGAAGAACACTGGTGCATTGTGGGTAGCAGCTTTAGTACTGATTGCGGGGCCTGAGACATGGGCACAAGATGGCGTCTTGCGGTGTCCAGCAGCGCGGTTGTGGACCGCGGAGGTCGAGGTAGATTTGATCGATTGCTGTTGTTTGCTTTTCGGCTTAAGTTTGTTTTTGGAACCGGGCGGGCGTCCCCTGCCTCGTTTCACCATGGGCGGCTGGTCGTTATTTTCGCCAGCTCCCACGTCCATTTTGGGGGGTTTACCACAGAGGGGGAACATAACCTCCGCGGGGAGAATCTCTAATGTGTTATTGTTGATGACGTGGTTGTTGATGTGTTTGTTTTTACTGTGCAGCTGTATGGAATTCACAGCCGTCCGCACGTGGTTCCGAAGTTTCTTCTGCAGACACTGTTTGCTGTTTCGCAACAGCTTCAGGGAAGATTTGCCGGTGAGTTCCTGGAGTTTACGCCGCTTGAAGTCCACAACGTCGTTCTCTGCAAACACGCCGTCTGCTTCCACTCGATTCCGTTTATTGCGCAGCGTGGGTGGCTCGAACGTGGGGGGCGCCACACTGGTTGCTCTCTTCCTGTCGGGAATCTTTCCAGAGTTGGGCTTGTGCGACTTTTTGAGTTTTGCATAATTGTTGTTGAGCGCGAGCGCCGCTTTGGACCGCAGCTGGGCCAGGTCGACGCACTTTCGGCTCTTGCCATTCCTGAGGGGGGGTTTCATGAGGGCGCAATTCTTGTCCCGGGCGAGCTTGCTGGAGGTAGGTGGCGGTAGTTTTTGGTCGAGTTTGGGACGCAAGGTGCACGGCACGGCCCCCGTCGTCTTCTGCTTGGTCTTGGAGTTTTTGGACTTGCAGCTGTCCGAGTCGCTGACAGGCTCGATAGGGGTGAGGGGCGGAGGGTGCCGGCACCTGGGTATGGCCGCAATGGGTGGGGGAATAGGTGACAGACACGGTGGAAACTGTGGATTGCCGTTGATGTCCGTCGGGGGTGGAATGGTTGACTGGGTTGAAGACGCCACATTCTTCCTTCTTCGTATTGCCTGAAAACCGTGAAAATGAATAGCTGTCAATTAGTGATAACGTTAAAGTCATGATGATTTTCTAAACATCTACGTATATCTTTTTCGTTAATTCTAAGATCGTCCATATAATAACTGGAAACCAACCAAAAATATAATTACAAAGTTATCTGATACATATTCATTATTATTAAGAGGTGAATTACAATGGTCAACTCACAAAACTGAGATTGTCATTCCGAAAAATTAAAAAAAGTGGAGCAAACTAGCGCCAGAAGCTGAGATACTTAAACTGAACTTTATTTCATTTTTTTCTAGAAACCCTTTCCGAATCCTCCAAAATCCTCCACTGTGGAGGACATACATGACAATAGTTTGTGCTGATAATCTAACTTTCAAGAGAGGCCAAGCCCCATGCAAAGTCACAGCGACTGAGCTGTACGTTCCTAAACCCTGGAAAATCCTGCAAACTCTCCCGGGCGATTTTGACGGATCTAGGAGTGTCAGGGTTAAGATTTTGAAGACTCCTACCTTCTTTGTGGATTCAAAGCGAGCCACAGACAGGCTGGGATAGTCGGCTATTCCTGTCGGTAGCGGCTCGATCCCCGGTATGTGAAAGTTATTCTCCACAAATTTGTGGTTTTTCTCAGCACTCTTGGCCTCGTCCGTGCTGCCATTGTCATGACTGGACGATGCCTTGTGGGCTTCGTGCTTCTTGGCCACCTCGAAGAAATCCAGGTGCAGAGGTAGTGCTGGTGTGCCTAGCCAAGGGGGAAAAAAATAAATAAAAACCCTTTCAAAACAAATTCTCCAGAAATAAAATCATTCATTAGCTATATTTATGGCATGAAATTAACGAGATATTCAATTGTCAATAAAGGGTGACCAGGACAGACTACAGAGTGGACTGACACAAAGTCTAGATTGGAACAAAGTCTAATTTGTTTAGTATTACACAGTCTTAATTGTTGACTATAGATACTGCTGTTGTTGCCGACACAATCGTAATAGTTGCTGGTCCTATCTCACTGACTGACTGACTCCCCGACTGTCAAGTGTGAGTCGGGCAGTTTGGCCTTTTGGCCTGACTGTTCTGTGCTATTCAATCCAAGCTCATTATGTAAGCATGCAGCGTTTGAATTGCAAGAGACACATATAAATACACCTACATGTAGACATACCATTCAACATATCATTCATGGGACAGATTTGCGATGTGACCATGATAATTCATTCATTCATTTATTTACCTTTTATAAAATCATGTAAATATTATCCACTGTTTTACATTCCAATAATTGTAAAGAAACATCTAGAATATGTAAACAATAGACCATCAATTAATTACCCCTTTAGCACTTGTATTAGGGAGAGTGTTGCCAAGAGGCTATGGTTTGTGACACATGATCAGAGGGTCAGGGGTTCGAATCCAGCTGCTGGCCATATGTTGTGTCCCTGGGCAAGCTAGTTCACCCCCACTTGCCTCTCTCCGCCCAGGAGTATAAATGGGTACCCCGCATTAGCTGGGGAGTAACCTGCAATGGACTGGCATCCCATCCAGGGGGACAGAAATATCCTCTGTCGTTTCATGCCAAGGAAACTGGAGATAAACCCCGGCCTGATGAGCTATATTGGCTTGTGACAGACTTTACTTCTTACTACTTACTACACTTAAATTTCTCCCAGATGTATCCATAAATCCAGAGTGCTGGGGTAGATTGGGGACGGTACAAGGAGTAACAGGCAGGGCGCTTTGGGGCGATACAGGCACTAATGGGTTTAAAGCTAGACCACTCCTTACCTCTGAGACACAGGAATGTCAGGAAGTCCTCGGTCTGAGGGCAGAAGTTGAACAGCATGCCCTTGTTGCTGCTGCTCCCGCCGCTGTCACTGCCCGTGCCGCTGCTACTCCCCCTGCCAGTCAAGCCACTCTTGGCCGGCGTGGTGCTGGGACTACCGGGTAGGGACTCGGCAAACTTCCGCTGGGCACGCAAGCGAGCCCTGAAAAGAGAAAACGAGTGGTCATTATTTCTTTGGGAGGTTTTGTTTTGTTTTGGTTTCCAATCTACTCAATTTTTCAAATTACTGTTGAAAGTCACAATCAGATGGAATTCCAAGTCAAAATTTTGAATTTTTTTTTAGGACATTTCAAAACACAAAAGTTTGAAACGCAGAATTTTCAACTGCATGAATGCTTAGACTAGAGTACAAGCACCTCTGGGCTTTTACCCTACTATGATCATCTTAATTAAATCAACGATGACTAAAATAAGGTAATTACTGTTCAACACTCATTTCACCTTGGGTGCGGCAATCATACAATCTTGACGAAGGAAATAATCATTTGATTGAAAACAAATTTTAATTAATGGCAAATTAACTGGCTCCGTGGTTAGACTGGAATATTCACTTGATGGCAGACACATGTAAAATTCAGTCAAATTCTGAGGGAAATCCACTCCGTATACCGCATACCGCATTACTTATTGCTCACTGAGTTTCCACTACATTTGAAGTAAAAATTACAATGAGGCGAATTTGATTTATGAAAAATTCTGTCTACACTATGGTACATTATCAGGTACCTGAACATTGTGATTCAATAATGTAGCGATTCAGTATGGTTCCAGAATTGAAAAGGTGTATTGCGGCACTTAGCTATGAATAAACTCAGACAAAAGATGGGCTAGCTCTTGAAGCACTACAGAAAGTGGCAATTTGTAGAGAACACAGCTTGTAATTTTGAAGAGAGAGAAAAAAAGTCACAATTTACACATCTGCCTCCAAAATGACAGATGAGATCAGGCAGCTATTGCAGTTTCAGAGAGATTTTCAAAAATTGTTCAAGTCAAGACTGGAGAAGTCAATAGCTTTTTATGAAATGTATGAATTGATACACCCAATCCATGCATACTTTTGTATACACTGTACGTACAACTTCAACTGCCGGAAGCAACATCATGATACACCTTACGATGCATTTGGTGTAGTTTACTCAGTGTCTAAAACAGAGTGGTGTCATTACTCATTACACACCTACCGGTAATATAGATGAATCTGAGCGCGTGATCATTGGAAACTCACGAGGCCCCCTTTAATGGACAAATTATTGTGCATACTACTGCACAAAGCAACTGCCCTGTGACAGATTATCGACATTAGCTACAAGTAGCAGAATGCTTACGCCACTGAAAGAGCCTCCGTGATATAAGGCCAAAAAAAAATAAGTCGGTCTCTGGTCAGCGCGCGCGTCAATTTTAATCATGCGCGTCGGTCTTTTTTTCTCTCCAAAATGTTCCGCGGTAGCTCCAACAGCGCCCTCTATTTCCGCACCTCCTCAATTTTTTTTACCAAAGAGCACCAAGGAATGGGAAATTGCACCAAGGCAAATGATCGAAAGCACCAAGGCAAATTATGGAGGACACCAATGTACATGAGGACACCACAAAAGCAAAATAGTACCCCACCTTGTCTGTACAATCCAAGCTTGAAGGAAAAAAAAAAAAAAAAAAAAAAAAAAACGCGTGGCCGCGTCAATTCCGGAACTTTGGTCTGACCGGAGACCGAATATTTTTTTTTTTTGGCCTAACTGATAGCATGCCCTGATTGGTCTGTACATGGAACTATTTGTATTGTTTGTATTTAAACAGTCACAGACAGTCAAAAGTCAAAATATAAATCCACTTCCCTGGGATGCCATTTATACAGGCTAGTCAACAACAGTCAGATCATATGTCAAGCAAGCACTGTGACTAGTTAACTTCAGTCAACAGACAAAGCAGGCAAGTTGTGGGCACAGCTGGCTTGTCAATCACCAACAGTTCAAGCACAGCTGTATCAAGTTACATAAACAGTCACAGCCAGTCAATCCTGCTTTATGTAGGCTGGGAGTTCTTAACTGTTGAAAACAGTCACTTGATTGGTTTTGACTGAAAGGACACCTGGGCACAGAATGTATGTTTGCATAGGAGGGTTAATCTGCAGTTTCAATCATACTACAGTGGAACGCCGCTATACCGAACACCGCTATACCGAACATTCGGCTATACCGAACATCATCCTTGGCTCCCGGTTTTAATGTACAAAACGTACCGAACATCGCTGTTGAAAAAAGTCAACAGATTAACAAAAAATCTACCGGTTGTACATGTATTAAACACTATTTGGGCCACTTTTGATTCCCAAACATCAAACGGCCCATAGTTGCATCGTGTTCGAATTTTGAAGAGCGATAGATGGCTAATATTTCCCCAAGGAATAAAAGGGAAAACCATTGCTTAAGTTTCGTGACGACTTTCTGCGGGATGTGAGAAATGCCAGTTCACTATTGGTCAAAAGAGGGAACCGGCGGTTCAAAATTGCTATACCAAGCGATCGTTATTACGAACAATTTCTGTGGCTCCCACGATGTTCGTTATAGAGGCGTTTCACTGTTTACGTATTTGTACTACATCATCTACATGAACGCATGTCAAGAAATTAGGGGGGAGGATGTAACAATTTCCCACTATACAATATTTCGACGAAATGAAGGAACTGTTTATGAGCCTGCCTCTCACAGACCATAATGAAGGTATCATATGACCAGGGCAGTGGGTAGATAGACCAGATGTGGGTGGAAAAGACAAATGAACCAACGATGTTACCGTACATTATTCAAGGAGAATCCAGGAATCACTCGCCCACGTATCGGAGAGAAAAGAAATACCCAGGGGAGTTGAAAATGGGTAGAAAAACCTGACATTTTAGATTCACCACGTGGGCATCAATTATTTCTGACGCAAGAATACTTTGCTCAATCAATCCACTTGTCTACACAACCAAATTTTTCAAATAAAAAGTGACTAATTGAGTTTCACAGAAAATGTCAAATGCGAAAGTGAAATGTCATGAGGATCTGCTGGGATTATTTTTTTTATTTTTTTTTTGGGGGGGGGAGGGTTTCTTTGTGTTTTTGTTCTTGTTGAAATTCCCAGTACAAACTACATGTACACATTGCGCAGAATAACGGAATAATCACGTATCACTTTTGCTATTTCAAAGAAACTGATGTCAGTACTATTTTCAAGATTTTATTTTCATACATGTGATGCGTAATATACTATGTGCATGTATCTGTATCAGGTTGTGTACGTACATGTAATTGGACACCGACAAAGAAACTGAACCATACATGTATTTCTGAATGAGTACAGCACGCATGAAACAAATTACAAAAAGACGGTCATTCGTATTTGTCCTTCTACTCATTTCGCTTGATTTAAATCCCACTCGACGTTCAACGTTTATCCCTGGATTCGTCGGGATTTTGTCATTTCCACGGATACCGGGGTATTCATCTCCAGTGGTGGAATGGTCGAGAGGTCTGCATGCACATTTATCAATGCAGAAATTTTATATTAAAAGTGTAACAATATACTGGGACAATTTATATGAACATTCCCAGTGCTCTGTGTAAATACATGTATACATGGAATGTACATTTTAATACTCAGTGCGCAATTCATTTTGTGAACACCTTCCTGTCATAATAATGAATCAAGATTTTTTTTTTTCTTGGGGTGGGTTGGAAGCTGGTAGTAGTGCAGGCATGTGGATGTATGGGTGGGGATGGGGTGTGGGCAGGGGTGTAGAGTGGGGATGTTAGGGTAAAAGGGAAAATGTATTCATTCTTTCTCCAAATTTATATTAATTACAGTTAGTCCCCAGTGTCAATAAAAAATTTCAGCGAAAGTGAAAACTAAATGCACAGTTGATTTACAATGTACCCATCATACAAAGTCTAAAATCTCAAAGCATTCTTGTATTTTCGAGAAAAAAAAATAAAAGAATGCTACCTGGGAAAATTGCAAAAAATATGGAAAGCTTGCATAAATTGACCGAAATGTAAACAAGTAGGCTACGTACTTTTTTGGTTTTGAGCATCCCATCCCAGCATCCTTTGCTGCAGACAGCTTTAGACTTGCCAAGTCCTCCGTGCATTTTCTCTCCCGCTTGGCTCTGAGTCCTTTTCTCCCGGTGTCCACCCGGGGAGTTACTGTTGCACCGTTACCCTGTATTGCCTTGTTGGACCCCTTGCTTGCGCCTCTCGTGCTCTGTCTGCATTTGGTCGGTCGCTGCACCTGCACCTGCTGCTGCTGCTGCTGCTGCTGTTGCTGCTGTTGTTGCTGCGGCTGCTGCAGCTGCTGCTGTGGCTGTCGTAGTTCTTTCTGCTGTTGTTGTGGCACCGGCAGTGGCTGTTTTTCACACACTAATGGTCTGCTGTCCCGTTGCCTACAGGCAGAACTCGAGTCCTGGTGTTTCCGTAGACACATTCCGGTCGTTTCCGGCGGGCGCTGCGGGCACGGACTCCGCCGCTCCGGCTCCTGTTTCAGGCAAGCCTCCACGCCGGCGTCGCAGGAACACATGGAGCTGCTGTTGCTGTAGTCCATGCTGGTGGAGATGGACGCCGGTTCGAGGGAGGATTCCTCGCAGTCGCCCTCTTCTTCGCTGCTGTATTCGCCGTCCCGTTTGGGCCGGTTGTCCTGGATGGAGGCATAGAGAGCTTTGCATAGGTCACGTTCCTCCTGCCACAACATCCCTTCATTGTACTCCTGTACACACACACAAAATAAAAATAAAAGATGTTTAAATGGGGACCCATTCATGTCATGTATGTACATCTATGTAAAGCGAAAATACAAATGACAATCAGTCAGAACCTATACAAACCACACAACGTTTTTGCTGTTTAATCCCCCATCCTTAAACCCCTTCTGCCCCTTCCCTCCCGCGTAATTCTTATTCCTAGGAGGGTTAGGGGCAATGTCATGAATAATTCAGTAGTTTCGATGGGAAAATTATGTTTATCCATGAGAACGGACAACGACATCAACAGCATTGTTGTTAGTTACTCAACTAGTTACAATACATTAAAGCATTTTAAAGAACAGTTGTCGTCGAGCTACCACACAGTAGCCTAGTGGATAGCGAGATGAGCTTATGGATACAAAGATCCCTGGTTCGAATCTACGTCGTCGCTGCTCATTTTCATCAGCTATTTTTCTTCTCCAAATTTATCACTGAGATAATTTTAAATTAAGGGGAAAATAGAACGAGAACCTAAGTCTTGCAATGATTCAAAGGAAAAACTGAACTATTCATGACATTGCCCCTAACCCTCCTAGGAAAAAATTATGCTTCCCTCCCCTCCCTCACCCCCTCCCCCACCCCACCCAAGAAGTGTCACAATACTGCCTCGACTTCGGGGGAAAAGGCAGTACTTAAGACTTCATAAATTGATATTTTGGGAAATGGTAGGTGGATGAAATAAATGGAATAGAAAAAATTAATTCTAAGAATTAATAGTAAACATGGGTAGTATTTCTTCCATTTTTTTATTTTTATGTTTTTCTTTCCTTTTTTATTATTTTTTAAATTTTATTATTTCTTTATTTCATTTTACATGTGTATTTCAATTTATTTTCAATATTTTTCAATTTTTTTTTTTTTTTTTTAATTTATCTACCGGGTATGTATTTTTTTTGGGGGGGGGGGGTACCATCCTGTTATTGATGAATTTGCACCAATTTCAATAAAAGACGGGCCTCTGCGCTAAACTTTTTTAGTTTAAAATCAGTCAACATCAATCTTAATTTTTCCCTCCTTGCATGAAATTCTATTTTTAATTTGGAGGAAATTCCAGGGTAAACCCGGCTTCCTACTTCACAGGAACGAAAGTACACACAGCGGGGCCGTATAATCAGACCGCCCCGTATTCATCACACACAGATATTGGCAATCTGTCATATGTAGTGAAGTGTTGAACCAAAGTTCAGTTTCTGTATCAATATGAATGCGCATAGGGTGCATGTGTACACTGCCCGATGTGTGACGATCGCCTACCGCAGTGTTACAGTGACCTACAAATATATTGCTAGTCACTTCATTAACCAGACCTGATGTTCCATCTCTCAAAACTACATTGTAACTTTGCCATATTCTGACGGATACAGAGGTGCAATGCAGAATCAAGATTATTTGACAGGATTCAGGAAAACAGTAAAAATATATTCCCAGGATCTTCTAAAGGCCATATTGTATAGGGTGAAAATTTTAAAAAGTGCTCCTCTTACTCGCATGCAAAAGGCACAGTAGACGTACTGGTATGTCAACAGAATGGCTAAATGTTTTCATTTTTCATTCTCCAAAAACGAGGTTGATTTGTTCCTCCCCTAGAAATCATACCTCTTTCATCATTTGCCCATACAATCTTCAGAAGACTTGTTAAATGGAAAATCCTACGAAGACTTACAAAATGTAAATACTGACACATACCGGTTTTTGAAATTTCTATACCCATCATGCCATTTTCAGCAAGTACTGTTTTCAAATTACTCCCTTCATTTAAAAAAGGTTTCCCCAAAACACATCCCAAACACATGTGCTGGACATGCTGACATCCCTTCATAAGTGGGCCTACAGGCAAGTACATGTATACAATGTACATGTACATGTACATGCATGATGTTCAATGTACATGTATACGCACATATAAATGCGCACAACAGGAAAGACAGCGCAACAAATTGACAGTTGCTTCAAGTATCAACGCTTTTATCCATCTTCATTGTGAGTCCCTGACACATCATACACCCCCACACACACATGCCCAGAATACCCCTCAGGATCTTTGCCTCTTTGCTCCCCCACACCGAGTGCATCCTTTTGCCTATTTGCTCTCAATGCGCAAGCCCCCTCTTCAAGTGCAAAAAAGCCAGCACGGATTCGGGGCAATTCACAACAATCTTATCACATACAATGTACATGTGGATCCCCTTTCAATGCTTCAACGGTGCCTTTGGGTACCGGTACATGTAAATGTATGTAGCCTAAATGTATGAACTATGTACATGTACATGTACAATATGTACGTGTACATTATACAGCAGGGTGACTTTATGCACGTAGTAACTACAGTAACTATTGTGGGGGAGGGGCATGGGGGCATTGGGGGGGGGGGAAGTAGAATTTTTGGATAGACAAACTTGAACTTTCGATCGCCAAAAACCCACTGGCTTTCCCCCTATACAAAATGCGGCCCCCTATATATGACCCCTTCCCCCCCCCCCCCCCTGCAAAATGGACCACAGTAACGCCAATGACAAACTGGGGGGGGGGGGGGGGGAGAAAGGAGTGAAAAAAAGCAACGACCAAAATATTGAGCCTGATAAACCTGACTAGTGACAAAACATGCCTGCCCCAGCTGTTGTGCCCAAAACATACACACACGTTGGCTACTGTCTTAAATGCTTGTGACATGGGTTTCCGATGCCTAATCACTTTTGCCGCGGCTCAACCACAGAGTGTAAAGTGAATGTGATCGTCAAGAGGAAATGACAGGGGTTCTCCTTTAACGGACCGCAGACTACCGATTAGGTAATAGGCAAAACTGGCTTTTAAACGGACACTAATAGTGTCTGCTGCTCGACTGACATATATAAAAACAAAATGAGATTACTCGGTTAGGGTTGAGGTTTTCATTTTTGAAGCTCCCAGGGAAAGAGTGGGGATTGATTGCAATCAATGCAGCGTGTTGTGGGTTACCGAAACAATAACGCTGTGACATGCATAGTGAAAGTGGAGTTTAGAAATGATTAGCAATAAAAAGGCGTCAATGAGTAACTATATACTGTATGACTACCAATGTGGTTTAAAATAGACAAACCATTTGAAAACCTGTGCACGTGAATGCATTCCAAAAAATCACCTTCAAAATGTTTTTAAAAATTCCCACAATGTTGAGCTACATTGAGTTGTTTTGTCCACATATTGATCAATTCTTAATCCGTTCGACGTGTGGTTAGTAAAGTCAAACTTCCATGCTGAACTCCCATGCTTAGCTGAATGTCTCGAACCCCTCCCCCTCCCCCTCCCCCCCCCTCCCTCTCGAGAAAAAGAAAAGAAAGAAGCCGGCTACACAGCAGTAGCTGAGAAGTTATGACGAAACTCAAAACAAATGTACATATATCAATGTACAAAATGTATGTTATAACTTCTTGTTCATCCACTCTTTACAGTGTTAAACTCAAGTGGCAATCGTTCAACTTTTGTGCTACAGGAAATATAACAATAGGCGCAATGACCTGAAACCAGCATTACCCCCCCCCCCCCCCCACCGGAAGCATGTCCCAATATCTGCTTCCCCCCCCCCCCCCACCAAAAAAATCCCCAAAGCCTAAAAACACAACAGCCACCTGGTTCCAACAAAAACCTCATCCATTTGCTTTCCTCCCGGCATTTTAATTCATTTCCCTTCCTATTAACTCACCCCCTGCTCCCCTACCCAACATTTTTCTCCTCTTCTTTTTCCCTCCCTTTTATCATTTTTCTTTAATCCTCCCGAGACGATTGCTCGTACTTCACCTAACCCTCAATCCCCCACATCCTCTGCTTCAATTCCCCCTCGTTTCTTCCCTTACTTCCTGTCCATCATGTCCAGTCTCAATGGTCGCACCTTTCAAGAAATGCAATTTGTGCGGTTGCCTCAATCCATGCAAACACCCTGATTTTTTAATGTTTGAATGAAGGCCAACATGTTGACAGTGCTACTTTTGTCATTTGAGCTTATTTGAGCTGATTTGAAATATGACATTATTTTGACCTTGACCCAATGATGACCTTTGATCCCAGTTTGTTCATGTAAAATGTTGGGGCTGGGTTACAGATACTTTTGACAAAGTTTGGTTGAAATCGGTCAAAATATGTAAGAGCAAAAGACAATGTGAACGTTTGTGCAAACGAACTACGGTAACTAACTAACCTTCCGACTAACAGAGAGACATACACTTGTAGAGCTGCTCAGCCGCAGCTAAAAAAAACAGTACATGTTCCTTATTACTAAAAAGGACAAGAGAGATTTCAATGTACAAAATTAGATGCCTGCAAAACAAAATTACATAAAAGTAGGGAATCCAATGAGCTGAGTTTTTTTGCGAGTAATCTATTAAAACCTATAGGACTTCTTTCAAATGAAAAACCCTTAGGTGGTCTTACACTATAAGCTGGGAAGGGTGACTTTTAATATTGGATTTTGTTCTTCACCAACGCGATTTTAGTCTTGTCTGAGGGCTTGCGAGAGAAAAAAACACAAGCGTACTCTGGTGGGACTCGAACCAAGAACCTCCTGCTTACTAGTGCAGAGTGCAGATGTCTTACCACTCAACCACCGAGCTTGCCCTTGTCAGCAGGCTGTTTAAATCTGATAGCAGATATGTCTAACTATTTATATACTATTATTTTGTTTGAATGTCGGTGAAGGGCAAAACCTAATTTGATTTATTTATATACGGGTGACTTGTTTAGAATACAGCAGGATTGTCGGGGTTTTTTTTTGGGGGGGGGGGGAGGCTATACTGACTAACCCCTGACCATTTATCCCCCCACCTCCCCCCGGAAGCCCTCACAAATTGGGCTTTCCCTATAACCATGGCAAGCCCGTAAGCACTGATATGACAGGCGAAGACAACACAGCAACAGCAAGCATATACTGGCATCAAACTGACAGTATGGTACGTCTGTCTCCACAGAAATTCAGCAACAGTCCGACGGCACT